AAAGTAATAATAGAGGTGGCCCTGATTTCAGAAGTAGAGTGAGATGCCAATGACTCCACTAAAATATTTCATTGTCCCAATAAAGTAAGGTTGTGACCACCATCTGAGTTGCTGCTCTCCAAGCACAACTTCAGTTATACTGTGCAGACTAGAATTTTTGAGCTCAATATTATTAAGCTGATTTTCTGATTATAATGGGGTCCAATTTCAACTATTTCTCTGTGCAGTTCCTATTTATTTTTACAAAAGTATATCAATCATAATCATTGTGATAATATTTGCAGTGCTTTCTAACTTATATATTTAGCTTGTAAGTTAACAAAATCTTTAACAAACCAGCCACAAAAGTTAGCTGTATGAACCAGACTTACAGAGAATATAAAGGGACATGAAACCCATAGGAAAAGGAAATTCATTTCCTAAACAGTCACGATTATTTAGGAGAGATCTATTCCTTTTCAGTAAGTCCCTTGAAAGAGGAGACTATTTGTGTTATATCATTTTGCGCCTGACAAACTGCCTAATTTCATATCTTGAACATAGTAGGTGCTCAAGAAATACTTGTTGAATAATGAATGAACATTTGTTAGAAAACTTTAGTAGGAAGGATTTTAATAGTAAAACCTTGAAACTAATCTAAGTGTTCAAAAATAGAGAACTATTTAATAATGTTTTACAGCCTCCAAAATTATGTTGAGGAAGAATAAGATATATCATAAAAATTGTGATACAAATTTTAGATGAAAAATTTAGGTTACTAAATAGTATGTACAAATTATTCCATTATTTATATATACATATATACACATATCTTGCTATTTTGTATATCAAAAGATACACAACATTATACTACGTTGGTTAACTCTGGGGATCTGATTCCAGGTTGTTTTTATTTCCTTCCTTGAGATTTTTTCTGTAATATCTGAATTTTATTCCTTTCTTTCCAAATTTGGAGAAAAAATTAAGGTTTCTGAAAATTAAAAAAGTAGATAATATATCAAGTTTGGATTGCAAACCAGAGCTTTCAGCAGAACATAGTTGAGTCTTTGCCATAGACACCAACTCATTTCCTTCCTTTCTGTGGCATTCATACCACTATCGTGCTTTTTTTCCCAGATGAGATGACAAAATGGAAAGACCATCTCCACACCAAGCATGGAGCCATAGGAAAGTGGAATGTCAGTCAGGGCAACTGCAGATCAGGAAATCGTGTCACGGAAAACAGAACCTGTATAAGATTCTAAGTTTATGCCATTTGCTGATCAGTTACCATATTTCAAAAATTATACACACTGTAATCCCCCTCTCTGGTCTGCAGGCCCTTTGAAGGGGAAGGCATTTTTAGCAAATATCGTTTAAATGGAGAAAGGAGGCAGATCAATGTACTCCAAACTACTTCAGATTGGATCTTAGTCGGAATGTCTCCCCAGAGCAGAAGCTCTTCTCCAGAAGTACCTTTCCTGTTGGATTCAGGTTCAGGGTTGGAACCCACAGACCCAGAATGATAGGCTGTCAGCAAAGACAAGCACATCCTTAGCATCCAGCAATGCTCACTTTGTCCTTGTCTCCTTCATCTTCCTTCAAACTTCTATTTTTTTCTTAGATTTCTCTGAAACTCTTTTAAAAATTCCTTTTGAAACAAGTGGGTGCCTGACTCATTGTCTGTTTCCTCTGTTTTCCACCCAAGTGGTAAACAATGGGCTCTATTCAAATGTGGACCGTCTGTGAGCTGGGAACCTGCGTGCAGACAAAGCTCCTTATCCCACGGCAGACTGCCAGACCCATGCTCTCCTCCACTCACCTCCTGGGCTGTTTAATAAAGGCCACTTGGCAAAACGCAACATATTGTCACGGTCCTATGACCTTGTAGTTCTCTGTCTCCTTTCCCTTCAGCTCGAAAGAGTATTACTCTAAATTCTGAAGTCAATGCATTTGAGAACAGCCTTTCAAAAGATACTCGTAAGAATAACAGGAGGTAGTTCAGGCCCCAGTCATAAGGACTACCTGGTTTTCTTTACAATAATTGTAGTGCCTCTGTCCTAACTCCTCCCAAGTTGTTAATATTTTGTCTGTAGATGGTGGTTGCCAGGAAAGAGAATCTTGCAAAGTCAAGGGCATGACAAAGCTGAGAAATAGAGAAGGCTAGCCCAAGACTTTGGGAAGACAAAGGCAAAGGAACAAAATAGTAGGAATCAGACTATGGAACAAGAAGAACAGGACAAAGTTTCGAGTTCAAAGGGAGCAGATAAGACAAAAATAACTGAACTTAAATGATACAGTAGTCCTCAGGAAAAAAAGAGAGCGAGAGAGAGACGAGACTAGAGAACACATTCCCTTCAAGTGCTTGAGGAAAGCACACTTCCAGTGTGTATAGGAATCACAGGAGGAGATTTTGCATATTGTGTTGAAACTCCCTTCCCAAGAATTTATGTTTCCTGAAGAACACCGCCAGCTTTCCCCCTCCATCTTAAAATGGTAAGAAAGAAAGTTAAAGAGAAGGTAAGGGAAACAAATAAATAATTACGATATTCCAGTTATATTAGATATGTGTGCTTTTTAAAATAACTTCAACAACCATACAAAATTGTGGCTCTTATTCCTATTTTTTTACAGATGAGAAAATTGTAGCTTATAGAGTTTAAATAATTTGCTCACAGTCACAGAATTAGGTAGCACTAGAATTTAAAATCAAGTGGTATGACTAAAAAACCATGAGAACATTCATTCCTTCTTTTACAAATCACTCCCTATTGACAATCAAACCCAAGTCCTCTAGATTCTCCATGAATATTATTTAAATCTATCCTCTTTATCCAACCCTACTGTCCCTCCCTCATAGCTTAGCAAGTTTTCCCCAAATGCCTCCTCACTGACCTCCCATCTCTGTGTGTCCTCCCTGCCATTCTTTTCCTTTCTTCTTTCCTTTTCCTTCCTCTTTCAACATGTATCTCATCAATTCCAACCTGCTTAAAAACCTTCAGTGACTTCCCACTGACTTAAGATTAAGTCACTGCCCTCAAATATGGCACTGCTTACCCATTGGTCCGCATATTATATTCTCTCTCCCTCACTTTCTATGTTCCAACCACACTGGACTTCTTTAATATCCTCAAAACTACAAGTTGTATACCAGGGAAGGGCTTTTACACAGGCTGTTATTCACTGTGGAACACTCCCTCCTCTTTTCTTAGCTCAGCAATTCTCAAACTTTTGGGGCTCAGGGCCCCTTTGTGCTCTGAAATACTATGAAGAACCCCAAAGATCTTTTCATTTTAAAAAGGTAGATTATATCATTATATTATGTTGTAAATTAGAACCAAGAAATGTTTAAATATTTAATTCATTTTAAAACAACACAGTAAACTGATTATACCTTAACATAAATAACATTTTATAAAAACATAGCCACATTTTCCAAAACCAAAAATACTTGAGTGAAACTAGTAGCACTGTTTTGCATTTTTTGCAAATCTTACCAATATCTGGCTTACTAAAGTATAAATGGATTCTCATGTCTGCGTCTGCATTCAATCTGTTGTGATATCATATGTTATGCAGCTTCTGTAAAACTCCACTGTACACTTGTAATGCAGTAACAATGAAAAGGCAAATAACTTCTTAGTATTATAGGGAAACAGTTTTAACTCCTGAACCCCCTAAAAGTGTCTTAGGCAGAGGCCTCCAGGAAATCCAAGGTATACATTAGGAACTCTTAATTATTCTTTATGTCTCGTCTTAAAGTTAAAATTTGCAAGGATGTCTTCCCTGACCTCAAAGAACAGGTCTGAGTCCTCTTGTTATATGTTTCTATATCATCCTCACTTCTCTGTCAAAACACTCACTGTAACTATAATTTAATCAGTAATTTGCATAGGACAGAGACCATGCCAACTTTGTTCATAGTGAGTCTCCAGTGCTCAGCACACAGCAAGGGCTCAGAAAATCTTTGTGGGAGGAAGGAGGAGATAGAAGAAAGGGAGCGAGCAAGGAAGTAAGGCCTCAGACTCAATGAGACAGCGCCCTGCCAATGGCTCCATTCCTTCAGCAGGATGCACACAGAGATGTAACTTTCTACAGCGTCTGCTGCTCTGGCTTCCATTGAAACAGGATGAGAGAAAGTGGCAGGTAATGGACTGGAGTGAGGAGACTGAGGGGAAACTGTAGAGAATAATGGTTAGGAGTACATGTGCTGGGTTCTCTCATTAAGGTGATCATTCAATATTTACTAAGCAGATACAATTTGCCAGGCATTATTCTGGGCACTTGGGATACATCAGTAAGCAAAACAGAAAAGGTTCTGGCCTCAAGGAGTTTACAGGCAGACCTGAACTCGGCCACAGATCCCTCCACTTGAGTTGGCCTGGATTGTTTGTTTAACCTTCTTGTGCCTTATTTCTCTCATCTGTAAAATGTGAACAAGCCTTGAAAGTCTCCCGGTGAGAACTAAATGAAAGAATATCTTTAATGTACCCAGTAGAGTCAGGCACCTGGTAGGTGCCTAATAAATGGAAATCTTTCTGCTGGCAACTCTTATTCCAAAATTGATTTTTTTCATGTACAGAAACTATTTGATAGATTAGAATCCAGTCACTCACAGGATATGACTTGGGTAGTTGTCAGGGAGGAAGAGTGCTGTATTTAGAGTCTTCTCAGGACTCAGGGGGGCTGGCTGCAGTGTCATTTTCCCATAGAGAAGCATCACCTCTCGCTTCCTGTCTTCTTCACAAGCCACCTGGTTATTTTTATATTGAACTTTGTGAGGTACTATCATAGTCTTAAGTTATGGGGTATTTCAAAACAGACTTTCCTGAGGACTCTTACAAAAATAATTATGCCACAAGTGTCAGACCATTTTAAAGAAGATATTCATAGCCAACTGTTTGTAAGGGACCACCTTCTTACACGGGTTTATCATGTATCATAGGGTTGCCGGGCTTTTCCAACTTCACCCTCTGAGTTTCGTTTGGCCTAAAAAAGGGACACTGCCTTTGAAGGAGGATTACCAGGAGAGAGGGAAAATTTACAAAAAAAGAGTACAGGGCTCTTTGATTTTTCATTTCCCTTTCCCTCTACTCACTCTTTGTGCCTTCTTCAGTTAGTACCACACTAGAGAAGTGTTAGGTAGAGAAAGAGGAAGAAAGAAAAGGAGACAATCTTATCAGTTGATTTTGCTATGTGTTACCAGTCTGGTAAAAACATTTGAAGTTAGAAAGTATTCAAACATGAATAAAGTTTCAGAGTTACTTGTATGGATTTCATTTCCTCAGAATACCCTCATTGTTCCTTCGCAGGAAATATTCATAAGTCAACTATCCAGAATCATAGTTATTATTCAAGTGGTGTGGGTTTAAAAGGAGATCTGATGCCATGGCAAACCTCACTGACTTAGACTGTTCTTCAAGTTAAACAGCAGGATGATGTCTGAAGTGACTGAAACACATATGGCTTCAGTGTGTCAAGAAGACCTGAAAGATCCCACATGGAAGTGAAATTCATTATTGGCAAGCACGGTGACAGGAGACCCCAGAGGGCTGAGCCGCAAAGAATTTGCAGAGCCGTATGGCTAACTCCATGGCCTAGTTTGATCTTGAAGTTATTGTCTTGGATAATCCTCTCAAATCTGTTCCTGTACTTAAGAGTCACTCATCACATGAGGGAGCTCCCTCTCAGGTTCCTTTACATCGCCCTGTCAGAAATGACTTTCAGGGAACACAGACATCACATCAAATCATCCAACAGATGTCCCTTTCAAATAAGTTGGAGCAGAACCAACTATATGGAGAAGTCATAAACAAGGAAACAGACAACCCAGTGATTTTCAGCGGATTGGCACTGCTCTTATGACAGAAACCTCAAGTTTCTTGGGTGGAAGAACATGAGTTCAACAGAGGGCGTGTGCACTATGCTGGCTGACTCTTGCCCTCCTGAGGCTCATGCTGTTGACAGGGGATAGAGGGGACACTTTTGGAGTCCAAATCCTGCACCATCTCAATGAAGTGCTATTCAACATCATGGCTCTAAGAAGTAACCCATTTTAATAACTGGCATCAGAGGACTTAGGAGAGAGAAAGTCAGTATCCAGACCCATTTCCGTCAGTGACTCTCTCCTTGTATTGGGAGGGTTGGCCAGAATCGTCTGATTCCTGTTTCTGATTTCCTTCCTCACTGGCATCAGAGGATTGCACTACCGGAAGACTAATATCTAACTGAGCTCCAAGTGCTAAATAAGAGTATCTCAGGCTCATTCCAGACCACCAAGAGGTTCGGGGTGACCAAGTCACAGACTATAAATTTGAACATTTGATGATTTTTGCAGGTGACTGGGTGAACAAAGGAAAACCCAAGAGATACATAAAGATGGAAACTAGGATTTCTCATTTGAATTCTTTAACATGCCTCACTCTGATGGTTATAAATATAAAGGAACTTTCACCTTCAAGAGGGTGAAATGAAGTTAATGAGTTTAGGTTTTAGGTTTTTTTTTTTTTTTTAACCTACTTTAGAATAGGAAACATGCTTACTCATATTTACAAGGCACTGCAAGGCACCAGCCAAAAAGCCTGAGTTATTGGCAGGATATTTTTGTTGTTGTTGTTTCTATTGTCCACATGGGTAGGCAATTAATACTTTTTAGGAAATTAGCTTGCCAACTCAACACTGCCTACTTTTGAATTTTTATTCTAGCAACAGCCCATAATTTATTGAAAATTCCCTATGTGCCAGACACTACACTAGACATTGGGAGTATGAAAATTAATATGGTAAAGATCCTGGCTTTAAAGAGTCTTTAACATTATTTGAGCAGTTTTATTACAGGTGTATATGTTGGAATTGTCAGAACACTTAGCTCAAAGCAAGGGTTCAAGCATGACTTTGCAGAGTAGATTTTGGCTGAGCTTAAAGGATGTGAGGATAAGCATACACATTTTTAAAATTACCCAGAATGTAGTGCCTACTGAAATGCTTGAGCCTCAGTTGCTTCTAAGAGTCCAGCTTCAGAACTTGCATCTTGCTAGATTGAGCTCATTGCTTAATTTCTAGCCAACATAGCCCATCTCTCTCAGCTGAATACTAAGCTCATCAACTTCTCCTTTGATCTAGGTCTTGAAAAGAATGTTGAACATGACAGGGCTGAAGGCAGAAACCATAGAAACTTCCATCCAGAGTTACAGTCATCTCTTAATAGCTGCCTACTGTTGCAATCAAAATTAACTCACTTCTTGCCCAATTGTGACACTTCACTCACCTTCTACTCAAGGGAGACTTCAAGAATTGTTGAAGCTGAACTTCTCAGGTTCTTATACTTAGTGACACTGTTCATGCAGTGGCTCAGTATGTCTTGATTTCTTGGAGCCAGCAAAAGTCACAAATTGAACCCTCAAATCGGAATTCATAAGTGACTAACTTGTAGCATAACTTTATTATACTAGGAAAGATAGGGTTAGGGAGAGAAAAAATATCTATAACATCTTAATGTTCAAATATAAGCACTTTATGTATATTTAGTCATTCGAACTCCAAATACACTTTAAGAAGCAGTTATTATTCCACTCTCTAATTCTACAATTTCTACCTTTTTAGATTCCACATGTAAGTGAGATCATATGGTATTTGTTGCTCTGTGCCTGACTTATTTCACTTAGCATAATGTCCTTAGGTTCATCCATGTTTGCAAACGGCAGAATTGCCTGGTTTTTTTTTTTTTAAGGCTAAATAGTATTCTATTTTGTATATTCAGCACATTTTTAAAAAATCTATTCATCAGCTAATGGACACTTAGGTTGATTCCGTATCTTGCCTCTTGTGAATAATGTGGCAATGAACACAGGAGTGCAAACATCCCTTTAAAATACTGATTTAAATTCCTTTAGGTATACACCCAATTGGCTGTGGGAAGTTAGACAGGGAAAGGGTACACATTGGTCTATGGATACAGAGTTTCACTTAGATAAGAGGAATAATTCTGGTGTTCTATTGCACAGCACAGTGTCTATAGTTAATAGCAATGTATTACATATTTCAAAACAGCTAAAGAGAACTTTAATTGTTCTTACCACAATGAAATAACTGGGTAAATGAATATGCTACTTAGCCTGATTTGCTCATTCCACAATGTATACATGTATCAAAAAGTCCCATTGTACCCCATAAATATACATTATTTGTCAATTACAATAAAACATTTTTTTAAAAAAAAGTAATCAAAGTCTCCATTTGACTGATAAAACTTAGATTAAATCTGAGCTAGAACTCAGCCAGTATTGCACCAAATGTTCTTTCCATTATGCTCCTCCCTCTTCCTCGCTAAGATTGCGCCCCTTCTCCTCCCTAACTCACCTCAAGCTCCCATCACCCTTCACTAGTTTTAAACCAAGGAAAAATGATTCAATGAATGATAATACTTGACCAAGAACTTTTATAGAGTTTTGAGTTAAAGAAAATGTGACTTGGGTCAAAGTCACGTTTTAAACTTGTGATTTGTGTTAAAGAAAATGAAACCCCTAAATGACTTAAGTAGGCATTCAAAAAAAATTGACCTTTTCATCACTTAATCCTCACATATCTATATGCTATGGACTGAATTGTGCCCCCCAAAACTTTGTATTTGAAGCCCTAACCACTTTTCTACAATGTAACTGTAGTTGGAGATAGAACTTTTATTTAGAGATGGAACATTGAACCTAATTAAGGTTAAATGAGGTCACTGTCATTAGGGTAGGACCCTAAGCCAATAGGACCGGTGGGTTTATTAAAGGAAGAGACTGATATTCTCTCTCTCTCTCTCTCTCTCTCTCTCTCTCTCTCTCTCTCTGCCTCTCTGTCTCTCTGTCAGGTGAGGACACAGTAAAAGGAAGTAATCTGGGAGCCAGGAAGAGGACCCTCACTAGAATCTGATCATGCTGGAATCCTGAAGTTGGACTTCCAGCCTCCAGAACAGTGAGAAAATAGATTTATGTCATTTAAGCTACTTAGTATTTTGTTAAGGCAATTTAAACAGACTAATACACTATATAGTCTATGGACCCCCTCCAGGAATACCACTCGGACCATTTTACAAGAACAGTATATGAGATTCAAAGGGGTCATTAGGACATATGATGAGTAAAGTTGCTTATTCCAGGGTTTTACTTACTAAATTCCAGTACATAGTTCGAACCACTGTGGTACACAATACACTTTCCCACAGGAATGCCATAGCCTACTATTCCAACAGGATCAGATAATCTAAAGTGAGCAAATTTGGGGGGTGCAATTGTGCTATGCTGGACAGATGGGCATGACTCTGTGGTTAGGGGGTGGAGTACCATCTGTTGCGGACACACGAGTGCTTCTTGCTGTCCTTGGGGAAAGTCACAGATGTTTCCATAACAGGTGTGTTTGCTTCCCCCATGTAGCTTTCCCAGACACGTCACACACAGCACTTTGGCTGAGTTACCTTTTCTACTCAAGCAAAGTAAGAGAAATGAGACACCTGCCCTGATAATTTAATTTAGAGGGAAAAAAGATGTGACTTGGTTGCTTCTGAGGTGCCTGAATGTACTTTTGGCAGGGAGTGGGGAAATAGAAAAAATACCAAATACTGAAGACAGCATGTTTCTCAAACCGTGAATAATTGTTGAATTCTTTATTTTATTTTTATAAGTTCCAGGGTACATGTGCAGGATGTGCAGGTTTGTTACATGGGTAAGCGTGTGCCACGGTGGTTTGCATCTATCAACCTCTCACCTAAATATTAAGCCCTGCATGCATTAGCTATTTATCCCAATGCTCTCTCTCTTTCACTCCTTTGCGTGTGGTTCTTGAGTAACAGAATCAGGACAGGATAATGTGCACTATGCTTCCTGAACAATCGATTAGTAGGCTGAGGCTTGAAAGGTAAGGCAATATGCTGCCAATGAGCTAATTATTATATTCAATATGTTGAGCTATTAAGCATATAATTATTAAAAACGAATTATTAAACACACAATGAACTCAAATTTAACTACTAAATTCACAATCTTAGATTGTCTTTAACCTACTGCCCCCCATGCATTCTACCAAAAATTTTAGTATCTATCTTCTTCATGAATCCGGTGAAAAATACTGACAAAATTTAACTTTAAGGCATACCATTTTTTTCTGGTATATAACTGACCTGTGGTTAATTAGAAAATTTGGGGATGTCTTTCGATTGTCGTGTATAAGAATATAATCTTCCACAAATCCTGAATTTAAAATGCTCCACATGCCCAGAACTCTTTTCTAGAGAGCAACACAGAATGGTGGAAAGTCATATGTAACTCTAAAGGAAAGCCTCCATGTAATTACCTCTAAATATAAAGTTGCATACAAAGAGAATCAGTCTACCAAGTGTAATTAAAAGCAGTTCAAATTTTAATTATTTTTCACAAGTAAAGGCAAACACACAGATACATACCCTTGCTGCAAAAAAAATTTTAAAAAGGTGTCTTGAGGATGTATTTCCAATTATTGCACTGGTATTCTGCCTATGAATTTATCTATTACTCTATCATGTGACCCCAAAATCTCACCTTTCACAGATGTAGCAATTTTTCATTTTTAAAATAATTTTAAAATAATGTTCTAAGATGAGGATTATCTGTGTAACTGTGTAATCATCTATCTAGCTGCCCAGAGAATTTTCTGTTCAAGAACATGCACCTCCTTTCTTAAATAAATAGAACTTATTTTAAGATCTCTCCTCTAGATAGAATGAGTTGACTTTCCTCTTTATAAACTTGCTAAAAGTAGCACCCCAGGCACTTGTTACTTAAATGAGATACGTATTTAAGCAAAATGATAAAATATTAAAACTGAAAAACTGTATGTGTCAGTCACACATAAGATCCTGGTGGCAACTCACAGACTACCGGGTCCCCTCACGATCTATGGCTCCTAACCTGGTGGCCCCTACTAGTTTCTGGAAGGTGGAGGAGAGCTATCCTTAGAGTTCTGGAGAACTTATCACTATCTACACCTACCTTGTTTATTTGTTTGTTCATATGTATATTGCCTACCTCATCCACCACTAGATTGTAAACTTGAAAGTAGGGACATATTGTCTTTTTAGACTTGTAGTTATAGCTCCCAGAACAGTGACTGGAACAGAGTAGATACTATAAAAGTGTTTTGAATAATTAAGTGAATGAATAAATTAATACATGCTGCTTAAAATACACCCTTCCCCTTTGGTCCACCTTCCTGTGTGGACAGGTGCAGGGATCCCTCCAATGACAAATAACTGAGCAAAGAGTTATGGAATCAGACATCAAAGGCAAACATAAAAGAATGACATATCTTCCAAGGAAAAGGATTCTTGAGAAACATATCTCTCCTATCCAAAGGGTGTAATTAGGAAATTTCCATGATTATGAAAAGCAATGTACTGGCCATTCTTTGAACTCAAAATGACTAATGCCTGGTGTGTGCG